TAGTAGCTTCTTGTTCCTAGTAGTAAGGCCAGGAGCCCCTAGTAGCGTCCTTGTAGTAGCTTCTTGTTCGTAGTAGTAAGGCCAGGAGCCCCTAGTAGCGTCCTTGCTCCTAGTAGCGATGCCCTTTGCTCCTAGTAGCTTCTTGTTCCTAGGTTGCGTATGTGAGAGGAGTCTCGAAAGAGTGTTCATCGTAGTTAGATCAAATCCAGTTGGTGCTAGACTCATCTAAGCTAGACTGAGCTGATACAACTGCTCACCCAAGTCTCACTAGTTACTGGTTGGTTTCCAACAGAAGTTGCAAATGTTGCTTTGCCCAATGGAGCCTCAAACCTCAACAAACATCAAGCATCTGACCCTGCAAATAGGATCATCCAGCCTCCGCGTTCTTGGGCATCTCGTAGTTTACAACGTGGTCAATACCTGGTGATCACAATCATACTTTTCCGAAAGTGGAAACATGGATAGAGTCAAGGTGACCCTTGGTCCGAACGTTGCATCGTTTTTCAGCTGCGCAAAAGCAAAACACATTTCTGACCTTGTCCAAAAGCTTGGCACACCTGTGCCACCCACAAATACAACATGCCTCCCATTCCTTTCGACCACAGGAAAACCGCGTGCCTGGGAGGTCCAAGCCTCTGGCGGCCACGTCGGTGGCGACCAAGACCTTCGACTCAATACATTGATTGACATGATGATATGAATGATGTGGCTGTTGAGTCAAAACGCAGAGCCCAAAACCCTGGTAGGTTGACCTCCCAGATAGTGTATTCTGTTCATTATCGGTGGTTGTTCTCCAGGGTCCTTTGGTTTTGACCCACAGCTTTTGTCAATCTCCAGTGGCAGTGGCACGCTGTTTTGCGAAAAGAATTGGCTTTCAGCTCCACATCAATAGGTCATCCATCTGTTTGGCTCGGTCCCCTGCAGAGACTCGCCCATTTCGAAAATCACTCAGGGCTCGATCGCGTTGCCCCTGCAAGTGCCATCACACGTTTCCTTTGTCATCTTCGTCTCTATTTTGTCCCAACAACTTCCAATCTGTGGATACTACTGGATACTATAATGTGGTACTATACAATACAATGTACATGTAGGTGATGGATGGAGGTTCCAAATATGTTGACACCAAAATACCACAAAGCAGAGAGTTCCGCACCTGAGAAAGGCCGCCATGAATCTGCATACTCCTGGCTGTAGCGCTAGCAGGAGTGGAAGGCATTCTTCTCAAAAAGATTCAAAAAACCCAAGGATTGATTGCTCAAGGTCACATCAAAGAAAGTCACCCACTTTGACAGTGACCACTTCGGAAATGATTGGGCCGTCAGAACCCTTTTGGCTTGCAAACAAGGTTGTACACAGCATACACATGCGTACAGAACCTTGTATTAAAAGGACCACCAATTGGCCATACACAACCAATTGATCGGCAAATTCACACGCCTGATTCGTGCATCGGACAAACGCCACGTGATGGCATCAACCGTTGTCCTGTGAGAGAATTTCAGAATGAAAAGGCTTCGTGTCAGTGGTGTGAAGTGCCGTGACCTTCAAATCAATTCTTCAAGTGGATTTGGAAATGTTTCCAGTGACGCGTCAAGGTCGTAAGCTTGTAGCATCTTTAAACCTAGTAGCTTTTTGTTGCTAGTAGTAAGGCACTTAGCTACTAGTAGCGTCCTTGCTACTAGTAGCGATGCACCTTGTTACTAGTAGCTTCTTGTTACTACCTTCAGCATCAGACTGACTTGGTCTCCAACTTGGAGTTTGCGAAGACCAGGGTCTTCGCAACTTTACTGTCGTCGGTGCTCTCGACCTCCAAGCATTGATAGGTGGTGAACATGAGAGGAGCAACGCTGACCACACCTCCTTGACAGCTTCCACGAGCATTTCGAACTTGCCCTCAAGATCCTTGAGAAACAAGAATGTTCTATGATTCTATAACGAGTCAGGTGATCTGTTGTCTATCACATCGCATAATAACTACACCAATATCTCACACACCTTTTGCTAGTAGGTTGGAGGCCATCGCTACTAGGTTGGAGGCCACTTATGGAAAGTTTGGATAGAACTCGGCGACGGCCATTGCTCTGCTCCCGGCCGTCGTGCTTGCATCTCTGAAGCGCTGCACCTGAAGGTGCATCGCAAACAGGTGAGCTACTAACAGCACACAAGAGCCTAAAGAACAAAAGCTCATGTCTGAGTCTCTCTGTGTGTGTAAAGACTTAGACACCACTAAATAGTATTAGAGATGTTCGTCATTTATGCTGTGACCCATTGCTTTCATCGTGTTTCAACTCGATTTCCATCATTGTGTCCTAATCAACTCTAAGCGCGGCAGCGCTTCGGGCAAAGCCGGCTAAGCTCGCCACCACGTTGTCGCAGGCCTCTCCGACACGACCAACGGCAATCCACCTGCATCCGGGCAAAACGCTGGAAGTCTGAGTCGATGCCAGAACTCTGCTGAGCGACAAAGCGACTGAAGTGACTTAAGCGACTCCAACGACTCAAGCTCAGTTAGAGAAAAACAGGAGAAACGCATTAGGAGCAAGGACGCTACTAGTAGCTCCTGGCCTTACTACTAAAAGCATGCTTGCTACTAGTAACAAAGGGCATCGTGACTCGAACGGAGCGATCGGACGCGACGAACCATGCAACTCCGCTCTCCACTCGGTTAAAAGAATGAGTCTGAGAGGTCGGACAAGTAGGTTGGGTCAAGAAAATCCAATGCTAGGTCCTGCCACTCTGCGCGCGAGCCGAGGGCGGTTTGTGACATTTTAACATGAATACAGGAATGGATTATGGATGTCAGATCCCAGTCTCTTTGTTGATTTGGCTTGTCAGTGTGAAAGCCAATACTATGAGGATCCAATGAGATCATGCAAAACTTCCATTGCTTTGACCCTCTCTTTAGGAACAGGAAGGTGACAAATGCGACCTGCACCAAAAACGTCTGCATCTGTCGGCTCCCCGTGACCTCCCCCATGACCTCTATGACCGCTCCTGCATCTCTCGTGGAAAGGTGGCAGAGAACATCATGGTCTGCCTTCCATCCTCACCCCTTAGCCCGTTCGGGGCCCGGTCGGGCAAATGGGGCTTCGTTGGTTCCCCAAAAGGAGCCCAACGTTCACAGCGGTGTTCTAATTTGTGTACAGACCAGCAAAAGCTTAGAGCAAAATGCCAGGCCGTCCAAAAGACTGAGCAAGTACTTGAGCACTACGGGTTACAGTATTGACACGTCTTGCCCAATATATACAAACACAACAAATCACAAAACCCAAACGCACAAAGTGACAGGGGCTCGGGCAGCCAAAACACAAAGCCCAAAAGCAGTTCTAAGGCACTCTAAGGCCATGTCCCAGACTCCGGCATGCTGTGCCCTGCAGGTATCACGCTTGCAATTGCAATCCCGTTCGACGAGGTTTGAGGGGAGCAAAGTTTGATCCCAGTAGGGTTCAACATGGACAAACACAGACTGACCAAAAGCCTCGATTTGCTGTCACAGGTGTGTGCTGGGGTGGTGCTGGGTCAAGCTTGTCGAATTGAGCGCATCCGAAAAGAGTGCCTTCGATAATGGATCTGATCTGCGGCTCGAAGCCCATGTCCAACATGCGGTCGGCCTGTCAAAGATTTATATATATATTTTTTTTATATATATGATTATATATGGTGGCGTTTGTGTCTTCCGGAAAAATAACGCAGCCGAATCATCTTGCAATTACCCGGAATGGGAGTCTATGACGAGCACAATCTATGAACAAGCACTTGAGATCTTCACTCCAATTTCTGACATCATTGAACCATGTCGCACTCTCACCATCCATCTCAACCTTCAAGGCACAAAATTTGGGTGTCTGGCCTCATCTAAGATGCAGTATCGAACCTCGGAGCGTTGGAGGCCATCGCTACCCAACCTAATAGCGATGGCCTCCACCCTAGAAGCGATGGCCTCCAACCTACTAGCGATGGCCTCCACTCTAGAAGCAATGGCCCCCTAGAGCAAAGTTGTCGTTGTTTGAATTTATTTGATGTGCGCAGATTCGTCTGAAATTCAGAAGGTTTGCCTCAGAGGCTGAACAGGTTCCTGTCATCAGTTGTTCCGGGGAAATTCAACATGCCAAATTGCGGCGAATCAATTATGGCTTCATGATGAGCTCTTGCTGAGTCATTTGTCATGCTAAGTCAAGGGCCTTCCTCATGCTAACCACTCCTCTCTCAAGAAAGTCCTGCAAAAGAAGACTCAACAAAAAATGTTCGACCGGTCCAGCATGCATACTCGACACCATTCTTTGCCAACAGCATGATACAGGGTCCCTGGCAAGGAATCACCAAAGAAAACATCCGAGCACTTCTTGGAATCACAGCTTTACATTGCTTGAGCACAGTGCTGGCCCTGTCCTCCAAGCGCCCGGGAGTGCAAACGATAATCTCAGCTCCTTCCGCAAGTGCCTGGCGGCCATCTGAGACCGGCGACAGCCACAAAACCATTCGCACAGCATTTGTGTTCCACTGTCAATTCGTTTTGCATGTTGGCCTCGTTTGATCCACTCTCCAGGCCTTGAGCTGTGGCAAGGCATCAGCACCTCCATACACGGCCACCACACGGGCAGCCGTCCTGAGCGACGGTGGGACGCTGAGGATAGATCCGTTGTGTGGATTGGAACGTCCAAATATCCCATCACGCCAGAATGGTCAGTTCGTTCGGGGATATAATATAGATCTTGATTTATCGAACTGTCATTCTGGGATATACAAGCCGGAGCATGTCATTCTGGTGTACCCAGCAAACTCTGCTGCATGTTTCAAAAGAGCTTTCCTGCCAATCCCAGAATACCAATCGTCAACCCAGACCTTCACGCTTCCCGCCTTACCATTGCCCCTTTTGTAACAATTGTGAGAATATGGTGGTCAAGTATACTCTTGTCGGCATGTTGTACTTTCTCAAGCAGAGCGCTGCTGCATTCACGAGGAGTGAGAGCCCCCTCCCTCATAAGAAACGTGGATCATTCATTCATGCCCAAGCAAACGATGGTTTTCCACGTAGTGCAGGCTTTCGGGTGAGGGTTCTTCCCTTCAACAGCATCAGTTGCGCCAGTCATTTGTCACTTCGCCGGAATGGGTCAATCCCTTTCAAGAGCAAAATGGTTCGGCCCCAGAGCTCTCACCGGTTTCACCAGATCCTGCAACATGTCAGCGTTTGGTGCCTGAAACAAAGCTTTCGTGCTTCCAAGGTGATCTGTTGACAAAGTTCTCTGGTCGGAGCCATTATGATCCTCGGTGCCACGATGATCCGAATTTGAGACCCGCGAACCAAGAAATAGAGATGACTCTCACAACATCCAAAGAAGTTCCTTGTGCAAAAGCTCTTCTAAGTGCCAGCTGATACTAATACGGTAGGTGCACGCCAATACCAGCTAAAAAGGAGTGTTTGAGCTTTGAGTAGTAACAGAGGGGTGTGACAGGAGAAGACACAAACACAGCCTGCTTCTTCTCTCATTCTCTGAGATTTCAGGTGAGATGATTACATCAGTGTTTCTCTCGTGAGCCTAATGAAAACTCTATGCATCCTTTTAGCTGCTTGTGGCTACTCTTGTTAACTCCCCAAGCAGTTTACTTTGAGGGTGGGTGTGCTTGGGAGAGCACACACTAGCTGAAAACCCTTAGAAAACACGGTAAATACCGTGCAAAATTTCAAAAATTGCTCTGAGAACTAGGCGAAACGAATTTTTTGGATCTGTCTGTGCCCAGTCTCCATGTCCAATGTCAATGACAACAAATAACAGCTCTTCGTCTGCTCACTATCAATGTGCAACACCAATGATAAATATTATCAGGTGAATCTCTCTCTCTGCCCACAATGAATGTAGCATCATGAGCGAATGAAGATATACTACTATACATCTCTAGATTCAATAGCTTTCCTCTGGATCTCTGGGAAAGTAGATTTCTTAGATTTGTGTATTTTCATTGGAGGAAAGCATTTGAAAGAAACACTTACATACATACTTATAGCTTTTTAAAATGCCATGACTATTTCCAGAGATCCAGAGGAAAGCTTTGGAAATGAAAGCTCTATATTTTTTCACAGAAGTGATCAGATCTAGAGGGAACCTTTTGAATTAGAAGTTTGTACATAAAGCAGTTTTAATGTAGCAATGAATATTCCAAGGGATTACTTTAAACAAATACTTTCTACTCAAAAACATAGTTTGTGTCTTATTCCCAGCACTCCTAGGGCAAAAAACACTGTAAAATATAGGGTTTTGTAACATGTGTGTTCTTAAACTAACTAAACTGGAATTAAAATAGAATTAGGCAAACTCAAATTAGAAGATTTCAATCACGATCCTTTTAACATTGATTGTGGAATTTGCTATTATTAGATATTAGATTGCAATAAAAATCATTTCCAAGTTCTCTTTAAAACTCATTGTGGAAACTAGTTCTTACAATCAGATTTTAGTCAAGGTCCTTTTAAAAGTTAGTGGTGGCTTTGATTTAATATCAGATTGTGTTTAAAGTCGATTTAAGATCAATTGTGGAAATTGTGATGCTTAACTAACTTGAATTGAGTTTGTATCTGTTTGCTCCCCACTACAAGGCAACATCAAATAAAAGGACTTTAACTAACATCTAATTATAAGAATTGATTCCCACCATTAACTGTTAACTGAAAGTTAATTTTCACAATCAATTCTAAAAGGGTCTTGATTGATATCCAATACACAAGCAATTCAATCAAATTATGTTGAAAAGAACTTAAATTAAAATCTAAACAACAAGCAATTTCCACAATGATTTTGAAAAGGACATTAATTGACATTTAAGTAATGCCTAATTTCTAGAATGAAATATAATAGGATTTTAATTGAAATCTAATTCAAAATCAATTGCCACAATGATCTTGAAAAGGCATTTAATCGAAGTTGAATTACACATTCATTTTCTATGATAAATCTTGAAGAAATGTTAATTGATATCTAATATAAACATCAATTTCCCCAATGATTTTGACAATGATATAAATGAAACTTCGTTTGTAAAAAATCTACAATTAATCTTAAACACATTTGTAATAGAAAGCTAATGATAAATCAACTTCCACCAATAATTCTGAAAGCGTTTTAATTGAAGTCTAATACCAAAATCAATTGAAATTCAATTTAACATCAAATTCCACCGTTAAACTTAAATGAAGCAAAAACACTGTGTTTTACAGTGATTTCTTGCAAAATCCTCTCCAAAATTGAGGTTTTGAGCTATTTTTTGCGCAATTTTGTGAGATCCAAGCCTGTCCCAATTTAGAGGGAATACCAAAAAACAAAAAACCAATAAACCAAAAAACCAAAAAAAACAATGTTTGAGACAAAATGGGGTCACTATTGGTTTTTGGATGTTGGCTGCATTTTGTGTCAAACATTGGTTTTTTTGGTGTTTTTTGGTTTATTGGTTTTTTGGTTTATTGGTTTTTTGTTTTTTTGGTATTCCTCCCTCTAAATTGGGATAGGCTTGGATCTCACAAAATTGCTCAAAAAAAGCTCAAAACCTCAATTTTGGAGAGGATTTTGCAAGATATCACTGTAAAACACAGTGTTTTTGTATCATTTTTTGCATGAAAAACATCTCCCAGGAGCACCCGTTCTGTTTACTTTTGGGGTTCTGTCTTGGAAGAAAAGCTGGCCACACTGACTGGCCGCGCCCCTGAACTCTGTGGCCGGGCTCTGTGGCGGGGTCTTGTCCTCCTCTTGTCTTCTCTTGTCCTGCTCTTCTCTAGTCTTCTCTTGTGGCCGAACAAATAGCGATGTCGATGCCAACCAAACTCATTGATGAAGCAGTTTGCTCTTGGGGGAAGGTAGGGCGTACCAAGAAATCATTTTTGACTAACAGTGGTCCAAAGGAATCGTTTTGAAACTGTTTGGGGTCTATGCTGGTATATACAGCAAGTCTTTTTAGTAGCTTTGTGAAGTCTCAAATCTATGGAATGCAAAAAGCTTCCGTATCCAATCATCTGTCTGTGAATTGAGCTCCGAGCGCACTGGGCTGGATCGCCCCCTCCACCAACTTCTGCTGTTCAGCAGTGAGTGTCTCGGCCTGGACAAACTGTCACCGCATGGCTCCAAAGGGCTAGGGCCAGTAGCTTCTGGCTACTAGTAACAGGTGCATCGCTACTATAGTAGCAAGAAGCTACTAGTAACAAGGGCATTATCCTATTACCAGTAGCTTTCTAGTAACTAGAAGCTTCCTTGGGAATCGTTTCACCTGGGAATCCGTTCACCTGTATAGTAACAATAAAGCTTTCTGTTCTCTTTCTTGTCCTATTACCAGTAGCTGTAGATGATGATGGCTACTAAAGGCCTGGTTCAAAAGTGATAATTGTTTACTGACTGGTGCAGGAAATAGGACAGACCCAAGCTAGATCATTCAAACACGCAAACCTCCGGACAAGAGCATCTGCAAGTAATTATGACTATCTGCATGAGATTGAGTCGAACTGGACAAATTATAATTTGAGTCTTTCTGTGATAAACACCGTGAAATATCTTCAAACAATCACCTTCAGTGTCATGGCATTGAAATGTCATCAAACTCCGGCGGGAGTACAATCAAAGGAACCAGAAACGCCGCCGTTTTACCGCTTCCAGTTTGCGCACAGACCTGGCAATCAGGCAAGTATATGAGGAATTTCTGAAACTAAAGAGAGGGGGTCTACGATGCTCCACAATCTTTCTCGGAGAGGTTCTCCTGATTGTTGCAGCAAGATGATGCAAAACATTAAGGGCAACAGCTTGCAATTTGAAGCAGCTCATGGTAATCGTAAGAAGACTAATAGCAGTCTTGTTGCCTAGGACAAGTGTTCTTGCGTTCTTCTTCGCCATATACATTCTACCGCTTCTAAGTGGCCTCCCACAACCGCTCACAGTTCACATATATCACAACCGCCGTTTGGATGAGCAGAACCCATTTATATATACCGACTTAATACCGACAATCGAATTCTCTGCAAGGTGCCATGACATCATTTCCAGACAGCGCCGCAGGCACTGCATGTTTCTGGACCTCGCTTTGCATTCAGCATTGTATGTGCAATCAGCATGAAGCAAAATCGCCGACACAGCTTCATCCACAGAAGCTAAGGATGCTGCAGGGGTGGGTTTGCCATACCTGGAGCACTTCCATCGTCTTCCATCATGTACAGCTTTTCAAAGCAGAAAGAAGCTACAATGAATGCGGTGCACCCACATCTCTTCAGGACATTGTCCACCAGCTCCTGCCCAAACATTCTTGTCACAGGTTTGACAAATTGCAGAAATCACCGCCTTGACCTCACAAAATCAATCATCAAAGAGATCTTTTATGATCTTTTCAGTCCTTGGGCATGGTGAACTTCTGGCAGATTTCTTGGAAAGAATTGCAAACGGCCTGCCACATCTCTAGATGACTCCATCGACTCCATCACGGATGTTAATCAAGTGGAACACGGGCTGTGAACTTGATGCTGCGGTGCTATGCATGATCAAATTGTTTCTTCGAAATCAAGTGGTCCCTTCTTTCACGAAATACTGAAAGAAACTCTGGACATCTTCTTGGGACGTTCAACCAAGAAATATGCTATCCCTTTGCATCCTTCCCGGGAACGTGGAGCCCGATGACTCGCTTCGCTCTGTGGACCGCCACGGGCTCGCCGGGGCACGGCACCTCATCGCCCATGCCGCCACGGCGGTCCACCTCCACCTCGTCATAGGCGTCAAAATTGATCCTGCGCATGCGGTTCAACAACCCCCCCAAGAAGAGCTTCAGAGGGTGAGCGGTGGAAGTACAATGAGCTTCCTGTCCCCGACGGATAGCCTTAATGTACATCTACAGGGTCCGACTGCCAAGGGGGCATTGGTCAAACATCTGGGCGAGTGAACTGATCACTATAAGTAGACATTAAACCATATTAAACCAGACCAGAATCAAGAAACCTTCAAGCTTGTTCAAATCAAAATTAGAATGCGAAGAATAGCTCGCAACAAGCCTGTGAGAGCAGATCAGAATCCGAACCCCAAGCGCACCCCTTCTCCATCTGGGCGGTACCAAAAAGCATTCTCTCTTCACGCCGCCAGTACCTGCACCAAACGGGTCTGCTCAACATGGAAACTTTAAAGCTTGAACAAAAAAGACTTGGAGCACAAATCGTCCCTTGGAGGAATGCCAGTCCTGTCAATGGGATTTATGAAGCAACACAAGCGTGCTAGAGGGTTCAAAGTGCTTGCTCAAAATGAACACCTCTCGACTGGTTCGTCTGTGAAGTCGTGTGAAATCCACACTTTGCACAATGGCCGTCCGCTAAGCATAAATTAGCAAACTATATTAGACCGTTCTTCCTTTCTTTTCCCCGCCTCCAATAGCGATAGGCTCCAACCTAATTTATAGCGATGGCCTCCAACCTTATAGCAATAGCCTCCACCTTATAGCGATGGCCTCCAACCTTATAGCGAGATGCCTTTTGTTGCTCTACTGAGCACGCCCAGCATGCCTGTCACTGTCCTCAGCAAACGAGCTTGGTAGGTGAAGAACTGCGCCGCTTCCCTTTTGCGCTTGGCCTGTGATTTCAAGGAGCTCGATAGGCTTGGTCGTGCTTGGCCATGGAGCTTCTCTTTGCTTTTTAAAGGCTTTGGCTACGCCGTCGCAAAGGAGTGGCAAAAATTTTCACACGCAGCAAATGCCAACAGGAGGTTGATGTTATTTGAAATCAAAAGGGTACACCTCTCATCACATCTCCGTTCAACAGCCGTCTTCAACATCTTCAACATTCTTCAACCAACTAAACCTGTGTGAAATGAAGAATTCACACTTGCTGTGCCTCCCGCATCTGGTACTGTCCAAACCGCATAGAATGACTACCTGAGTCAGGAATCACTCTCCAGGCATGGCTTGGACCTTCAATAACCAGCGACAGAATCATGAAAGTTGACAAGACACGAAACAAGAAATTGCCTGCATAGATTCTTTCTGTACAGAAAGGCACGTTCACTGCCGCTATGTTTCGAACTCGATCAAAAGGCATGATCAACACTTCTTAGATCTTCTTAGTAGAAAGCAAGCACGCTTGGCCAACTGCCTTCAAAAGCCCGGAGTGCTACCGCAAAACCTGGCACAAACGCACTTGTGCAGTGGGGTGTACCTAGAATGTTATGTTTGAAAGTCACTCTGACGTGCCGGTTGATGGAATACCTGGGGCCAGGTGGCCAGGGCTGTATTTCCATTTATATTGCAATCTCGACGGACAAATTCAAATGAACATCCCCTTTTTCGGTTTTCGGTTCTGTTGATCGGTCACTCGGGAAAACCACCTCTTTGATCGATCCAGGGAAGAAAAGGGCTGCGACAGGTCGAACCTTTTGCCACGCGACAGGTCGCACCTCCTGCTATCGGATTTGCTTGTGAAAGGCCTCTCACACCATCATGCCGAAGAAGACTTGAAGTCCATGTTGCTGGCTGGCATCGGGAAGAAGCTCTGTGGTGCACCCTCCTTGGTGGATTTTGCCGACTCTTCAGCTACCTCTGATGCTTCATCCTGCTTTTCTGCTTCCTTAGCCACCTCGGCTGTCTCAGACTTAAAGCTGCTTGCGGGCATGGGAAAGAAGCTCTGCTGGTTGCCTCCACCGACACTTGCTCCACCGACGCTTGCACTGTGCTGGCTTCGACCACTGCGTGCGCTCCTCCCGGTGGCGCCCTCGCCATCAACCTCTGGGCGAAACGGGGCAGCTCCGTAGCTGCTGGAGCCTTCCGACCGCAATGAGGAGAAGGGATTGTGACCAGAAGCGAGCACGGGCACTGACTTGGCATCCAAGTTCGACAGGCCCATACTGGCCATAAACTGCAGCTTGTTTGCATAGGCTGTGAGAGCCACAGAGTTGTTCGGGATCTCACTGATTTCCTCTGCGGCTGACCATACAACATAGACAAGGTAGCAATGTGCAAGGCCGGCAACCATTGTCCACATGAAGACAAAACTCTCCGTGAAACCACAAACAAATGCTGGACCCAGTCGCTGCACTTCATCCTCGATGACACTACTGCAGACCTTTCCAGAAGCCAACAGCCATGCAGGTACGAATATGCCGATTGGAAAACTCAGGAGCAGGTACCAGAAGAACATCCTCAGCAAATGGTCCACATGATAGAGTACACCAACTCCAGCACATATCACCAGTGGAATGCCCACCAATGCCCAAGAAGCACAAATCACTTGGATGGTTGGGGAGATCTTCAGGTTCATCAAGGTCAACGGCTCAGCTGATGAGCATAGAGAGATGATCAGAATTTGTGCCACGAGAGCGATGAAGCAGGCCACCTCCACCCCGAGAGTCAGGGTGAAGCAGCCGAAGCAGCTATGCGCTGGGCGGACCTTCCACATCTGCATTGACAGCCACTAAGGCCGTGACTGAGTTGGGGGCATGGAGCCTCTTGAGCCCCAAAACAGGTCACATGGCATGAATCCCAGCATGCCTTTCAGCTAACTGACACATGCCATTTCCTAATTTCAGCTACTTCCTGCAGTAAGGAACCACCAAAGGCGCGCCTGTGACTGCACACAACAGCCGACATCTATCGACATGGGGCCAAGACCTGAGTGAGGGAAGGCAACGCTCTGAGTGAGGCAAATACGAGGTGATACAATAAGTGATCTGAGTGGGGCAGGTTTTGCAGGCAGTTATTGTTGGTAAAGCAAATAGTTGGTAGATGCAAATAATTTGCCTCTTACCAACTATTATACTAAGCATCAGTTTCAGGTAGAAAGTATCGTCCACCTCACAAAAAAGTTGGTGAAAGCTTCACCGAACGATCTCGGAATGCATGATGGAGGCATTTGGCCGTCTTGATGGCCTCTAAGGCTCTAAGGATCTGGCCGTCTTGATCTTGGCCAAGGAAGAGACGAGCTCAGGCCTCTTTGGCCACTTTGGCCTCTTTGGCCACTTTGGCTCAAAGACACTTCCGGCCTAAAGAATTGGCTCAAAGCACTTCCCTCTCAGCTGTCATCCTTGGGAGCAACGCGAATCTAAGCTTCGCACATCCCTGGGGCGACCACAAAACTCCTGCACCAGCAAATTCGCACATCTTCATTGCATGCCCTGCAGGAAAACGAAATACAAAACAAAAACATCCGAAAACATGACAGGTCACTGGCCTAGTGATGCCGTGGGCTACCACAGCGCAAGTGAAACCTCAGCCGGGGCACAGATCCTTGAAATCAATGGAAGAGGAAGAACCTCTTAGAATCCCACATACGCATGAGTCAAAGATAAATGTTCTGTCACAATCACAAGAAAACTATTAAAACATGTCCTTGTGCCTGAACATCCGCGGCTCACCGCAAGCTGGAAGTCGTGTTGCTTCAGAATCTTGAGCTGTTGGCATGCCAGTGCTCGCCGCATGGCACCTTGGACAGGAGCTTCACCGAAACATGCGAGACACAAGTCCGTGTTCAAGTCATGATTGAGCTGCAGGCACAAAACTGAGAGCCTGGAATCCGGCTCAAATAAGCTACATCTGAGAGAAAATGTTTGCAAAGGCGCGCACAGCGGGTTTCTTGGCAGCACAAGTTCAAGGATTTGCCCTCACCACCAGTCCCATCTTCGAAAGCCTTGCTTTGGTGGCTTTTTGGCTGAGCTTGAGTTTTTTCGCTCTGGAGATCTGTACACCTCTGGAGCTCTGCTTCAGGCCACTGGCGGCCACTGGCTCATGAACCTTAACACATGTAAACAGGAATGTCAGGATACACAATGGCTTCCTGATGGCAACAGCAAACCCAAGGCTGAGGTAGGCGGGAACCTTTTCATGGGTGATGCGCTCCTGTGTTGCCCAAGCTCTGCTGCCAAGCCTCCAATCCTCTCTGCCATCCATTGCTTCATGTCTTCCAGGCAGGTCTTTGTCACAGCAACCTACAGTAGTACGCCACTGAGTTGGGATTTGTGCGCATCAAAGATCTAAGCAGCATCAAACAGCCACATCTCCCACGCAATCGCTCAATTACAGTAGTCAGTAGTCCAATCTTCGAGAGGTTCGTAAGTAGATGATTGTAGATGGCAGTCTGGTTCAGGAGAAGTTTGCCCAATTCCTTTTAGCACAACAGCCCACCCTTGGGTGTGAAATCCCTCATTTCCAGGGTTCTGAAGCTTGTTACCTAGGAAGTGCATCCTGCGTTGAGCTAATCGAACGACAGCTCCGATAGTCCCGATCGTCAGAGCCTGCTCTGGAGACCATTTGAGGCCCAACAACTTCTCGTTCCCGGGCAGGCAACAAAACATCTCACAGTGGTAGACCTTGGTCTCATCTGCAATGTCACCGTTAAACATCGTTAAAAGTGATTAACTATCCTATGACCTATAACAGTGGATGATGATGGTTAGTAAAGGCCTTGGTCAAAAATGATGATAATTGTTTACTGAATGTTACAGGTAATAGGACAGACCCCAGTGAAAAGTGATTAACTTCTGATTAACCGTCCACTTTGTCAGCCTTGGTGCTTTTCTGTTCTGCGTGTCACAACTGGGGTTGTGCCATGGAGAAGACAGTAAACACTGGTTGAGCTGGACTTCGTTCAAAATGCTGGGATAGATGATGCGGGCCGTACGGCGATGTTAGCAATCAACAACCAAAGCCTTGAAAGCAACCCTCTTCCCAACTGCCAGTGTGGTAGGGCCAACAAAGAAAGTGAGCACGGCACTGTCTGCAGGATAGGTGTCAAGAGCGGGAGAAGCTGACACGGGAACTTACAGTCTATTGTGCAAAGGTTCCAAGGAAACTGGGCAGCGACTTGTAAACTGATTGACTGTGAACCGAAGCAAACTCCGTCTCAAGACTCTGGGTGGGGTCATCAGTTCGGTGGTTTGATCATATCTGCATGGTCTGCATGCATTTGGTTGCTCGGTGCCAAGCTCCATCGTAGAGCTTCAGGGTCTTATCTTTGGCAATCGCTTCCTTGTAGAGCTCCTTCCTGAAAACAGGAAACCAAACGCCAACTGCAGCACTTCATCTAGGCATGAACATGCCAAAAGAACCATCTTGCTGGTGCTTTTGGCAATCTGCTCAAGGGTTTAGAGAAGCGCACTGGCACTTAATTATGGGTAAATGTTTGTGAGTGTGCTCGAGCGCCTTGGTGTAGGATAGGAATTGTGCCCAGCTCATCTTCATCTTGAACACTCCCGTTGGAGTGGTTTCAGGAGATTCTGCCACCAAGTTGCGAGGTGTTCGGATCGGTGACCCTGTCCTCCAAGCCATGCTGGATGATGAAGGGCGTGCGCACCTCGATCGTGAACCCCACAGACCAGAAGTCGCATGCAAATCGATCACAACTCATCAGTTACAATCTCTGATCGTACACTTCTACGGATTCATTTACAATCATTTACACATCTATACTGAGACTGATAAGTCGTCAAATCTACACTCCCAAAACAAGCCTCCCAGCCTCGCTGAGGCGCTCCTTGAGCCAGTCTGGATAGATGAAGCCCAGCTGCAATGAGGTTCCCAGTCGTGGGGTCAAGCCCTGTAGCGACATGGGATTCACCTTCACGTACCTAACCGTGGCATGAGGCGGTGGCCAGTCGTGGTGTTCTCCCAAGACCGAAGTGGCGATGGCCTCCACCCTAGTAGCGATGGCCAAGTGACTTGTTTCCTTGAAGAGGATCGCGGAAGTCAAAGTCCGAGAGATCTGAAGTTCGTCCGAGGTTGGCGATTTCGCTGCAAGGAACAACTTGTTAAAGAGAACATATGAAACCTATAGAAACAATAGATAGCAATAGCCTCTACCCTAGTAGCGATGGCCTCCACCCTAGTAGCGATTGTCTCCAACCTACTAGCGATGGCCTCTGTGAGACTTCTGTCTGCCGCTCTTCTGGTTGCTTCTCGGTCAGTTTCCCAGCCTTTCACCGGACTCACAGGCCAGGTAGGAAACCTGGAGGTTCCGGGCTCCATCAGCCAAACATATGAAAAACAATGTGAGATCCCATGCCAGCAATCCAAATTGGCAATTACCCAAGTTGAGCACACGACATATCAAGGACTCTGGATGACTTACGTAGTAATTCCGTTTATCAAGGATTGTCCTCCCAAGTGGCAGGTGCGCAACGACATATTTGAAGATCATCTGCACAATCCAGGGTGGCTTCACTTCGTCACTCACTGTGAGCATGGGGCACAGCAACAACACCTCAAAGGTGGTTTGGAATGCGTTTTCGTAGAACATTCCAGCTGATAAAAATTCAAGAGTCTCTGAAATCCAATGACCCTTTTGATCAAGCCAAGCGCATCAAGATGCATCAAGAAACATGCATGCCCACCACTCATGACATCTTGCAGGTTTATGTCGTTTCCTTCCACCGCGATCATCCGTCGAGGGCTCCGCTGAGGCGTGTACGCCTTTGAAGAAGCTGGGGCGCTGCAGGACCATGCAAGCTGCAAGGCCACCACCCAAAGAGTTGCCTGATCGAGTGACTCATGGCACCTCGTGGCACCTCGTGGCTCTGCACGCGTTGGAAAAAAGACTTCTCAGTCTTCTCAGTGAATGGTTCATCACCCAGAATTGCACAAAAAGGCGCCTTAACCCATAATTTATGTTACGTGCTCCGGATGAACATGGTCACCCTATGCAACCTGCGCTTGGGCGCAAAACAGCACAGTGGCGCAGTGGTATTTAGTGTGACCGTTGCCTGCTAAGAAAAGCGGCAGCATCTGTCCATCGAAAATGCACTCGACTGGCCTCAGGCGAGCTTTCGAACCTGCGGGGGTCGTTTAACGAAGAGGTTGCAAAAGCAAACAGAATATATATATATAAATAGATGCAGCCCCCCGGAAGACCTACCTTTTCACCATTCCAAGCACATGTGTATCATCCGTAAGTCATTCGACGCAATGGAAGAAATACACGAAAAATACAAACCCGCCCAAACGCCGTAAACCGTTCAGCGTCCAATGGGCAAGATTCTCACGAATACAAAATCCGCACAAACGTTGTAACTCGCTCAACGCCAAATGCAAGAAACCCGCGCAAAATACAAAGCAGCACAAACGTCGTAAATCGTTCAACGCCAAAGTAGAGACATTCGCAAAAATGCATATCCCCACAAACGTCGTAAATCGCTCAGCGCATTTCAGCGCCAAATGGATGAAATTCTCACAAAATACCAATCCGCACAAGCGTCGTAAATTTTTTACCCTCACTCCTGGCCCCATTAGTCTGGGTTATTTGTTTGTTTATTTTCTAGAAACTTTACTGTTGGGGCTCTCTCCAATGAGAAGGTCAAGGCCATCCCATCCACCTCTCTCTTCTTGTTGCCTATCAGACAAACAAATACAAAGAGCCACTCTATCATCTATGTTGCTGCTGTTGCTGCTGTGGCTAGCAGGTGGTTAATCCAGAATACAATGTCTAATGCCAAACTTCAAAAGGTCGACAATACTACCCTTCGTAGGGTCTACATGGTCTACAATGTTACCTCTGAATATTCTAGGCCTCTGGTCTCCCGGTACCTAGGTACCCACCGTTCCAGACCTTCAGTACTTGGGGGGATCGAAACACTGCCTAAACATGACGCAGTCATGGGCCAAATTCTGCCGAGGCACCAACTAAACATTACCAACGCGTCACCTAAAAATCACCCTGACACGATGTCACCCCTGGCGAGACATCCTCACCCCCACACACCCTACCTCACTATCCCCCTTACTTACTCCAGGGGCCTGTGGTTCAGTCATTAAAATGATCTGCAAAGGGTAAAACACTATAAACTGATAAAGCCAACCTTTTACAAAAGGACTACATGGATATCAGATCATGAACGTCCTGTTATCGGCATACTTTTGTATAAATGATGACTGAATATAAGATGTGATTATATTCTGCAAAAACAAAAGAAACACTGTGATTTAGTCGTCATCGCTCTAGGCATTTGCCGCTCACTCCTTTCCACAAGCATTTGGAGCCATATCTCCGCACCGCATGTCTCCGCCAATGTTTGCGTAAGTCAGTCTTTCACAAAATGACCGCACCGCATGTCTCCGCCCGTGTTTGCGCAAGTCCGCGTTTTAAAAAAGACCACACAGGATTGTCTTTTATAAAATGATAAATTGTCTGTTTGATGTTTTATAAATTGGGTTTCTTCAGATGTCTGGGTTTGGGGCGCTAATCTTTTTAAATTGACTACATTGACTCTGCCAAACCCTGGCTAAGTCTGCCCAGAACATACCATGACAAGTCCGTTCTATAAATTCATATCACCTACACATGGATTTTATAAAAAGATCACTTCGTGTCTGGCCCATTCTGAGCCTATGATTTTCCCTAACTAAACCCATTGCCCATTTATAAAATGGTGGTCGGTTTTCTCAGTTTATACCCTCACGGGATGGCATTTCATAAACGCACAGAGTATGGGGGATACCTCACTCACTCACTCACTCACTCACTCCGCGTCTCATGCAACAGTGCGTCGTGTCTGGCGGCGTTCGGCGCGTCGTGGGGCGGCATCGCGCGGCGGCGTTGGGCACTGCG